CCCCCCCCCCCCAAGCTTCTGTTTAAAGAGAGCTATATTATCTGAGGGGACTGGGAAAGGAAAAAAAATGTAAGAATGGGACTCTAGAATCCAAGCTGTGTGATCTGATAGGTAGTGAAATAGCTAGTCAGTGCATTGTTTAGTTTATGGCATTTTAATAGAATAATTAGGGTTCATAAATAATTTATGGTACCTGAAATTTAATGGCACCTGACCAGAAGTCTTACATGGCAACCTTCAAATACTTTGAAATATATTATCAGGTTCTAATCTAATAATAACATGTGAATTATCTAAAGACAGCTATGAGCCTAAGGTTCCCACTCAGGGTGACCAGGAGCTAAGAGTTGAACACAGTGATTTAGCCAACTCCTAAGCAGAGTTCTTGTGTAGAATTGGGTGGCATCCACTGAGGCCTGTGCAGACTACCCTAATGGACATAGCTTGATATTTTACAAAAGTGCTCAAATACATGGAAAGCAGAGCAATACAAGTGCACGTCAAAGGAATCTCTGATTCGGATGGAAGTACTGGAAGATAGCAGCCAGTGAGACTGCCTGTCTTCTGTTACTTCTTACTTGGGGACACTGGCTCTAGGCAGATGTTTGTTTTGGCAGAATCCTTCATAGAGAAATACTTTTCAGTTAGTAAAGCTCTTAGAGATTTGATTTGTGACTATAACAACAATATTGATGAAGGCAGAGCCAGGGAAAAATACACAGCATTGTGGTAGCACATCATAAAAATGAAGTGAATAATACTTGTATTATTGTATGAGTAATGATGAGTATTCACATTATTGGGAGGTAATGTTGGAGTGGGTGGCTCCTCAGCAGGGGCCTCTGTTAGGAAAAAGATATTAATAGTGATGCAGACAGCAGTTCTGACAGCCATTTCTGCATATTCAGGTATGATTTTTATGCAAACAAAGGTTATTAGCCTTTGTGAGGTAAATATTCAACTTAATAGGTATGAGTAGCCTGCTTATGCAAAATGACCATGTTCATTGCCACAACCTATAATGACCACAAAGGCACACTCCCATTGTGTACTCCTGGTGCTTTGTCAAGATAGTGTAAGACTTTGGAAATGGCATTGCCCATTTGTATGGCTTATTAGTAAAGGAACTCAATGGCAAGGTGAAAACAGAAGATTATGTATTTTGACTTTGTGTTTTCTCTCAAGTTCTGCCTTTATCTTTACTTCCCCTTTTTCTGCTTAAATAATGACCTCTGCAGATCAGCCCACATTTTGGTTGTTGTGTTTGATGTAGATCTTCACATACATTCATCACCTAACATAGTGGACATGCCCTGAGACATGTGTCATTAGGCAGTTTCATTGTGTCAGAATCATAAATTACTTATACAAAGCTGGAAGGCTTAAGTCATTCACTTGATGTGGCCTCTTGGTGCAATCCAGAGACTCAGTAAGATCATGCTACATGGTTATTGCTGGTCCATGGAACACATTCTATTACAGTAAACTTTTCCTTTGTAAGTACAAAGAGTACACTCTAACAATAAAAAGTATAGTATAGTAAATACATAAACCAGGGGCATAGTTGCTTATTATTATTGAATATTAGGTACTGTATATAATTTTATGTGCTATACTTTCATATGGCTGGCAGTGGATTAGGTTTGTTTACATAAGTATCACCGCGGACATGTGAATAATCAGTTATGCTTTGTCATTAGGACTGTGATGATGGCACTAGGTGATAAGCATTTTAGTTCCATTATTATCTTATGAGGCCACTGTTATATATGTGGTCTGTTGCTGACTTTATGAAGTAGGAAATTATGCACAAGAATATATACTGAGGAAATGAAGGAACTTGAAGACAAATAACAAGTAGTGATTCAAGAGAAGATAATATATGACAGGATTGACTTAATAGGTATGATAGATATACTATGTAGATACTATCAGTGGTTCACAATTTTGACACTTTGCAGAAGTGGTCAAATAAGTTGAAATAGGAACAATGTCCACCAGCAATACGTGAGGAGATTTTATTTTATTTTTTAAAAAGAGAAGGTGCTGCTGTGCTTCTGCAGATTTGGCATGGAACGTGCTAAGGTCAGTTAAGTGCAAAAGAGACCTGATTGAGAAAGCATCAATGTAAAATAGATGGTAGTGGAAGTCATCTCCATATTTGTCCTTTTATTCATTTCACTAGTTTCTTATAGTTTTATCAGGTATTAATAGTGATGAGCAAAAACACAGATAGTCCGTTCCCTCTGAGACAAAACTAAATCTGAAGAATCTTTTACAAAATTTCCTGGAAACTTAAACTGTCATCTCTGTCAGCTGTAGCAGGACCCAGAGCTGCAACTGGATTGTAAATTTCATGCTCGCTTTGGCAGCAGGTATACTAAAATTCGATTGTAAATTTCTCAGAGAAGTGCTTTATAATACATCTAAAATGAATGAGAATATATGCTGACATTGAAATTAGTGGGAGAGAAAGAGGGGGAGAGAGAGAGAAAGAGAAATTGAAATCCTAGTGATGATTTCCCAACCCAACAAGTAGAACAGGATCTTGGAGACACATTTCAAAGATCTTTTATTTACATTTTATCTTTTTCTCTTGCTAATGTTTTCTTTCATCTCTTTTTCTAGCTTTTGTAACATTATTATCAATTTCCGAGTAGTTTTTTTTTAACAAATGGTTAATCTTTAGTACCTGACTTTTAAACTTGATCATGTACCTTCAAAGATGTCCTGAAAATATATTAATATAGTTTTAACAACCATAGATATCAGGAGGCAATTCAGAAGTGGGATGAAGCACTACAGTTAACGCCAGATGATGCTACCCTCTATGAAATGAAATCACAGGTAATAGTTATGAAGAATTTCATTTTCATCATGAAATTATGCTTTGTTTGGTGAGTAATAATGAACCAAAGTAGTGTTTTCTTCTATTTTCTTTTTCAAATACAATTTACTTTTAAAAATTTACCATATTATTTATACTTCTGCCTCATGCCCCAAATTAGATACTCATTTGCCTTCATGATGGACTTATCTTGTATTTCAACCTGTGATAAGAGCAGATGGTATCTTTTAAAAAGCCACTGTTGTGCTTGTAAATAAATGAAAAACACCTACTTTTCTTCTAAGTTAATTGTAATAGACTTAGCAATAGCTCACTTTTCTTCAAAATGAGAATGGCTTGGTTTCTGGATGAAATTTCTCCAAAACTGGCCTAGACTGTAGAAGGTTAGAATAGATGCAATTTAAAAAATAACATTTATATTTAAAAATACATTTCTGATATTTTGTGGGAAAATGCATAAAGAAAACCTGTAAAGCATCTGAAATATAGATTATCCAAGAGACTTTAAAATTCTCAAACAAAGCATTAAACATATTTTTGGCTGGTAATGGTTGCAATTTAGCCTTGATCTGTACATCTACCAAATATTTTTCAGATGGTGGTCTCTAACATGAGAAACATGCTTTATCAGCTTTGATTTTTTTACTTCTATCCTTTATTCAAGAAAAACCAAATAAATTATATCCACTGAAGCAAGTGCTTTGAGGGCCTTCATTTGAATGCCTTTAAATTTTAATTTTCAAATATGTGTGTATTAAGGCAGGATTTATGGTAAGCCATATTAAGGGTTTAATTTGGAACCCGATAGTGAAGTGTTTCTGTCAAAAACGTTCTAAAATGTTAATGGTCTCAGTGATTATAGGTAAAATCTAGCCCTTTCCCAGGGACTGAAGTGGAGAGTGCTCCAACTTTCTGATTTTTCTGGTTTGTATGATTTGAAAAGCCCAGTTGTGAAGTCTTTAAAATGTTTAGATAATTTTTGTACAAGGGAATTGTTCAGCAGGGACAGGAAGACTTGTTGAGGAAGTTAGTTTAGCTAGTTTAATAGCAAGACTTGGAGTTTACTAAAAACTACATTGTAAATAAAACAAATAAAAGTAGAGATCAAATAACACCAGGTTACCATGGTGGAAATAGGACCACTTGATTTTGACCAGATGGACAAAATTCAATAACTGGAAAGGGAATAGTTTATATTTTTCTGGTTATTTTAGGATTGAAAAGAGGACTAAAATTCCTGACCCTGAATGGCAAAGAAGGCAGTAAAAACCACTGAAATACTATATTTGCTAGACTAAGATATATTTTGAAAATGGAAAAATCTTTTTTTATAATGTTATCCATCAGTAGTTTGCAGTTTATATATATTACCAACTGTTTTCTTTCTTCTTTGTTTTGGTTTATAGGTCCTGATGTCTCTTCATGAAATGTTCCCAGCAGTACATGCAGCAGAAATGGCTGTCCAGCGAAATCCACATTCATGGGAATCTTGGCAAACTTTGGGACGTGCTCAGCTTGGATTAGGAGAGATAGTCCTGGTAAGGAGGTTGGATTATCATAATGCTGAAATTTTAAGTTGATTCTCACCTGTTTTTGATTAACAAAGCCAAAGGCGAATAGCCATTTAATCAAATCTGTACAAAAAATAGAAAATTATTCTTAAAGGTAATATGTAAACACAGATGCAAGCTATTACTGAACATATTTTTATGATTATAAACACCAATTATATCAGGGTAATATTTTTTATTTGATATTATGAAAGCTAAAAAATAAAAGTTTAATATAAAGTATTGGCATTTGGTAAATTGTATTTAGACAATAAGCAACTTTTAGTTTTGTTCTTAGGAACATTATACTGGGAAGAGTCCCTGTGTGCAGTGTGGGAGGGGCAACAGGTGTGCACACCTCTTCCGTGTCCCCACCACAGCTGAGTCTCCAGCACCATGTTCCTGCTGTGGCCAGTCACCTACCTCATCTTTGATGTGGGTAGCCTGCTTGTAGATTCCAAACAGCTGTATTTAGTGGTGTTTCAAAAAATATTTGGTCACTATGGAAAGAAATACAGCTGGGATATCAAGCTCCTGGTGAAGGGTAAAAAGGCATTAGAAGTCTTCAGATCATAATAGACATCATGCAACAGTGTCCAAAGTTACTGGTGGAGGAGAGTCTGAGGTGAAGAGTGGAAAACTGGCCTGGACGTCTTCCTCACCTGCTCCAAGCGGTTCTCTCCTCCTTCACCCCTGTCATAGTGCCTTGTCTTTGAAGATGCTTTCAGTTGGGTGGAGGGAGCCCTAGCAGCTGAGATGCAGGTTGTCACGATTTCTTATGAAAACCTGAGGCACAACTTGATGCCCAAGGCCACTAGTGCTGAGTTCCTGCAGAACCTGCAGCCTGAGCTCTTTGGTGTGCCTTCCTCTGTATGAGTAAGGGCCTGGCTCTTCCATGCTTCTCTGGGCCATGTTCATAACCCACATTGCTGAGGGACGGGAGAGGTAAAGGCCATCAACAGTCCTCACTTGCAGTCTGCATCATTCACTAAAGCCTTTCAAAGGTGGTATTCTGTCCGTTTCTGTGTTGCCTTGGCCCACTCTCTCACAAGCATTGGTGGCCATTAACTTGACAGTTGAAGAAAGACCAGTAGAATCAGACCAGAGGCAGAATCTGGCTTTGCCCTGTGAATCTCTGAATCAGGAAGCTGATGCAGTATACAGAAGGGAATGTACATGCACACATGTATATACCACCACGTGAATATGCACTTGTGTGCCATATGTATGTGTGTGAATTCATACTTATATTTGTAAAGAATATACTTCTTTAAGACAGTATGAAATTGTATTTATGCGCATTTCTGTTTCATTTTAGTTTTTCTGAATATTTATACCTGGAAACATAAACAGTGTATACATATATGTATATGCTTTTATGTGTGTACATGTATATATGTGCATAATTTATATAATATGCTGTATTGCTGTCTTCATTGTTGATGGTAGCATACAATTGCAGCTAGTAGATGAGATGAAAATTCTTTTGACTTTGAAACCTGAGTAAGGAAAACCTTGGTATTGATGAAACTTAAAAAATAATTTTCCAGATTAACTAGCATTAGGATAATTTTTGTGTCCTCAGAATATGTCATTGGACCTTTTCTTAGTGACTCACCCTGTGCTGCATGTATGATCAGTTTAACTCTGTGTGTGTAGCCATGTGTCTGGTATCTACATCCTTATCCACATTGAGGAATATTTTCTGTCTCAGAAAAAAATATTTTTCTCCTTTAAGAATGCTGATTTTCTACCTTTTTTGAAAAAAACAGAAATTGATTTTTTTTTTTCAAATTGCTGCTTGAACAGATACAGAGCCATAGAATACTTTTGGCATAATCAGCCATCACACTTTTGTGATCATCTCCTTTTGTAGATTTACTCTGCCTTGGGAATTTGGCTATAATTTGTCAGAAATTATGGAAAGCTTTAAAATGGTGAAAAAGGAGCACTTCTCAGTTCTGGTTCAACTCACCCTTCCAGGTGCCTCTCTCTGTCCAGGTGCCTTCAGCTCTGTAAGTTGTAGTTAAAAACATAACAATTCATGTGGTGGAATGACTGTGGGTTTACCCAGCTGTCAAGTTTTGCCTTAAGTTAGCGAATTCACTTCAGCATTCCTGATTACCTGTGTTCTTGTCTATTCTTTGAATTCCACTTCAAACCAACTGTATCATCTTACTGGTTTCCTCACAAGTTAATTTAGTTGAATAAAATTTTTTGTTCACATTCATGTAAAACAAAGTTTACCACATTAACAACTGGTAACATTATTATGATAGAGATAAGCCCACTAGCAGGTACTCTGGGGGAAGGAAGAAAGTAGAATATGGGGAGTAATGGTGATATTTAGACTGAGCAGTTGCTGGGCTTGGTGAGGGGAGTGTGAGAAAGGGTAGAAGCTTGGGAGAATGAAGTATTTGTTGTGCAAAGTTTACTATAAATGGTACTAAGGAAATCTCTCAACATGTCTGGACTGTATCTTCAGCAAAGGCTAAGTAAGTGAGAATTCACTGTGAGAACTGTCCTGTTTTTGTTTTGGGACAACTATACATGTTTGACAGTTAATAAAACAACTTCATAAAAAGCATTTGCAAATTTAATATAGTAGTGCCAAATTACTTCTTTGGCATTGAGTAAATTATTTACGACTTGCCAAATTCTTTGTTGTTGAATAAAGTTATTTATGACTTTATGATTTTATTGGTCTTTTACACTTAAAAATAAAACACATTTTGAAAGTTTTTTGAAGGCTAAAATTAATAGTAAATCTTGAATTTAACATTACTAATAATGCTTTTGGTAAATTGTGGAGTTTTTGACTTTCTTATAATTATTTTTATTTCCCAAAAAAGGTTTTTACAAATAATACACAAGGAATTTTCATGGGAAGACAATAGTTTGGACTAAAGCAACTTGAAAATGATAATCTGAAATCAGGGCTTGGGATTTACCTCAGTGGTTCCGCTCCCTGCCTCGCAAACGCAGGGTCCTGAGTTCGATCCCCAGTACCAAAAAAAAAAGTGTAGTGAAATGATATTCATAGTGACAGAAATTAGCTTAACCAAGGGCCATTTTCTTTTCCTGCTGTTTAGCATTGTCCTCTTTGCTCTTTTTACCTAAAGACTTAAGTCATACTAGAGTTGGGGGAAAAAAAAAAGAAAGGAAAAAGAAAAGTAGTTTAATTTTTTTAACAGATTAATGAGAGGTGAGGAACATATAAAATTCATTTTTTTGTATCTTTTATTAAAAGTTTACGAATCATTATCTCTTACTTGTCTGGTAATGGGAAGTCTCTAGGACATGTTTAGTGAGAATTATCCTTTATAGAAAAAATATATTGTAGGTGAGATGACAGAGGTACTTTGAAGCTTCTAATAAAAATAGTTAACATTTAGTTTTTTTAATAAGAAAACCATTTGTTCAACCATTTTTCTGTTTTGTGATTCTATTAATATTGTTCAGTTTTAGAGAAATTGAAAGTTGTTTTTCCCAATTTAAATAGAATTTTTAGAGATCTATTTGTAAAAGTCTAAATTTGTGATTTTTGTGTAGATTCAGGCTATTCTCTTGAAAGACTGGAATGGTAAAAAAACCCCAAAAAACCCCAAAATACAAACTACTCAGCCCAGTGAAGTAGTACATGCCTGTAATCTCAGCATTCTGGGAGGCTGAGACAGGCAAATTGGAACTTCAAGTCCCACCTGGGCAATTTAGAGACTTAGCGAGATCCTGTCTCAAAATAAATTCTAAAGGAATAGGGATGTAACTCTAATGTGAAGGCCCCAAGTTCAATCCCCAGTACCACAAAAACAAACAAACAGCAACAAAAACCTTAAAAATGTCACAATGAAGGAACACTTTGAAAAATATATATAACTCAAGCTAAAATTTCTAACATTTAATAATTCTTATTGTATGGACAAAATCATAAGAAGCATAAATAAAAATGAAAAGTAAATGAAAATCAAATGTCAAGAGTTGGTTATATCCCCATGAGTACTGACTCAGATTTTGAAATAACTTACGGGAAATAATTGAGTGAGAAAGCAAGAGAAGGCAAGGAGAGGTGAGTGTTGTGGGAGGAGGAGAGAGATTGGACTTCATAAGAGGACTAGGAAGAAGAAGGATGAAAGAATAAGAAAGCTGTTGAGAATTGTTTTGGAAGTTAAAAAATTAATATGAAGGAACTGGATTGCTGAGAAAAGAATATATAATATACTCTAGAGAACAAGTTATAAAGGAAAGGAAATTAGGAAAAACAGTACCAGGAGATAACAGTTTTAAGAAGGATAGTTCAATTAGCTTCTCACAGTCTTTATTCTCCAGTGCTGGAACTAGCTTCTAGGCTTCCCTTTTCAGTTTCTGTGTAATTAATTCATTGTCAACTTCTTTTTTTTTGTGCCAGTATATGACGTAGGTTTATTTTATATGCATTAATTTTATTTGCTAATGTTTTCTCTATTTTTTTCCTTAAATTCTTTTATTGGTACATTTTAGGTATACAATATATTTACATTTCTCATTGGGAACTTGTACCTTTACGTG